TGCTGTGCTAGAACTCCTGTATTGGAGGTGAAAGGTTCATTAAAGAGAACCTGTCATCTCCAAATGCTATCACACAGGGGCTTGTTAGCTCATGTGTGATAGCAATAAAGTTAAGTGGAAAAAAAACAAAAAAATTGATAAAAGATTATAAAATAAATAAAAATTATGAAAAAAATAAGTGAAAAAAATTATATTTAAAATGAAAAATAAAAAGGTGAAAAAAGTAAAAAAATAAGATCAAAAAATAAAAAAGTAACAAATAATAATGAAAAAAATGAATTTGTGGAGATAGTATGAGTTACTATATCCACAATCATGAATGAACAGGAATAATTCATTAATAATTGGGGACACAGTAGACATACTCTATTCCCAATTATTTACAAACACTAAGGCCCCATTCACACTGAGCGTATCGCAAATCGCGCGTTTGTCGCGCAATTTGCATTTTGCGCGATATCGCGCGGTTTGTCGTGCGACATCGCGCAAATGGTTGCATTAAATTGCATTGAATTGCAGTAGAATCGCGCCGAAATCTGCTCCAAAAGGGGTCCTGTTGTAGCGACACACGACCGAGACGAACAGAGCCCCATTGCCATGCATTGGAGAGCGATATCGCGCGGTAAATATCCGCCATATCGCACGGATTACCGCGCGATAAATTGCTCAGTGTGAATGGGGCCTAAGCGATAACAGAGCTCAGCCTCCTGTGACAGCAATGACAGCTGTCTCCACCCACACACCGCTCTCCTAATCTGTCACAGGAGGCTGAGTGGTGCAGGACGAGAGACACTGGCCGCTCATGGGGGTCCCGAGGCTGGGTGACACCCGGAGCGGTTGCCGGGTGTCACCCCGCCCACTTGCCGAGACGTCATCGCGCACGCGCTGCGATCTACCGATACCTGCCGGCGGCCATCTTGGTGATGGACGCCAGCAGAGAGAGGAGGGGACAGTCACCTGGCGGGATAAGGTATGCCGCCGGGTCCCCTCCTCTCTCTCCTGATAACTGTTGGGCGTTCGGCCCATGACCGAGCGCCCGACTTTTCAGAGGGGGGTGACACCAAAATTACTGTCTTTTGGTGTCACGCCTCCAATGGTGTCACCTAGGTGCGGGCCGCATCCCCCGCCCACTCCTTGTAACGGAGGGAACACAGAGCAGCGCCCAGCGGGGAGGAGAGAAGCCAGGGATGCACCGCTATTTTGCCATTTTGCCAAAAGTGCCATTTTCGGCGGCCAAAATTTCGGTGTATCCCTAAAAAAATGAAAACTTACCCTGCCGCCCCCGCCATCTGGTTGCCATTCTCCATTGGGGGGAGGGGGGCGCATACAGAAACCTGGCCTTGGGGCAGCAGAGGGAAAAAATTTGACCCTGGGCGCCGGTCTGAAGGGGGTGCCACTGGCTACCACTCTCTCCGCCGCTCTGCCAGGCCGGTCAAACTGAACTATAATTGCGGGAAAGCCTGCACTGGGCTCAGTAAAGTTAGGCAGCTGCCTCAGTACACGCTGGGGCCTAGCAGCTCTCTGGTTTTTGTGATTACAGAGCTGAAGGTTTGGCAGTGTTGGCAGGAGGAATGCAGGAGGAGAGGAGAGGTGAGCTTTGTTTCTAAAAATCACTGGCCGGATAAGTCAATTGGGGGGGAGGCAAGAGGGGTAGGGTCTTCAGTGTACACAGAGGTGGTGGGAGAGGTGGGCACAGTGGCAGAGGAAGAGCTGGAGAGGGGCAGTCAGTGGATACAGAGGTGGTGAGAGAGGTGGGCACAGTGGCAGGGGAAAAGCTGGAGGGGGTCAGTGGACACAGAGGTGGTGAGAGAGGTGGACACAGTGGCAGGGGAGGGGCTGGGGTGGGGGTCAGTGGACACAGAGGTGGTGAGAGAGGTGGGCACAGTGGTAGGGGAAGAGCTGGAGGGAGCGTCAGTGGACACAGAGATGTGAGAGAGGTGGGCATAGTGGCAGGGAAAGAGCTGGATGGGGGTCAGTGGACACGGAGGCGTTGGGGCAGAGGAGAGAGGTAGATACAGTGGCAGTGGAAGAGCCAGTGGGGGTCAGTGGGCACAGAGATGGTGGTGTGAGAGGAGAGAGGTGGCACAGTGGCAGGGGGAGAGGTGGGGGGTCAGTGGACTTTAATGTGTTGCTGAGATTTGTAGTCCTCTATAGATGATGGCATTCTGCATTGGTGTATAGTGTGTTGCTGGGACTTCTAGTCCTCTATAGCTGGTGGTATTGTTCTGTTAACTATGTAACTATGTAACTATAGCTGGTGGTATTCTGCATTGCTGTATAATGTATTGCTGGGATTTATAGTCCTCTATACCAGGGTCACAGTAGCTGCAGCTGTGATGGGGCCTTTGCATTTTGCCACTTCGGGGGCCCTGGTAACCGCCGACATTGGAGGTTACCGGACCCCCTTCTATCAGCTATGGCCCTCCATCCTTCAAACTGCATGGATCGTGTGTATCACGGTTGAACTATGGTTTGGTTGGTGGTGGGCGCTAATAAAAGAGAGGCTAGCCCTAATAAAATGTATAAATTGTGCAGCGCTAAAAATTAAAGTGCATAATATATATAAAAAAATTTAAATATATACAATATAGGAAATCCGTTGGCTATTATATATATTTATATATTTACATTTTTTTATATATATTATGCACTTTAATTTTTAGCGCTGCACAATTTATACACTTTATCTATTTGGACCCCAGGGTTATAAGCGCAGCTGCTTTGGTATCAGGATATTAAATCAGGGCTATCCATAAAGCGCGGATCCACATCTTTTACTAGCCCTAATAAAAGACTTGCCCCTGGGTGCCTCGTGACCTTGCTACGACTCTGCTGTCCGTCTGATAATTGAGTCCCCCACCACCAATATCTGTCTCTCATGTCCATCCATCCTGCTCCCATCCTTACTGGAGCAGTCACTCCCCCTGCGGATAGGGAAAGCATCCTGCTCCAGCAATGCCACCCCTGAACTAATATCCCCAAAATCCTGCAACCTGGCATATTTATTGGGGTGTATTAATTCAGGGCTAGCCTCTCTTGCACTCTTCCCTCTACCCCACCTTCTAACAGTAACCCAGCTACCCACCTCGGGATCCTGCTCCTCCATACTCCCCTCCTCTTTTATATTGCCCTATATAGTATATACATGAATGTACATTCATGTGACTCACCCTCAGCTGGCATGAGACCAGATCCGAGGACCAGTGAACATATAAGAGGCCAATCCTACAAAATAAGGCCACTGAAAATAAAAACAAATACGTCCCCACTCTTTCGTTGTCCCCCCTTTCCGAAGGAGGGGAGCCAAAGGTCCTGGCAACCACAAGCATAGGGGTAGCGGAGCACGTAAACCGCTCCATAGATCGCAAAAACGGCAGCATAGCACACGTTCGCGTGACTCCCCCTCGGTAAGCAAAACCCTGCAACCGAGGGCCAGTCAACACAGAAGGGGATGAACCCCAAGTAGTAAAGCATCATAATACAAATATAAAAGCTCTGTCGGTGTTCCCCCTAATGAGTGAGAGAGAATCCATGGGCACGGTGGTCTCAACAACATAAAAAACAATGTATGGAATCTATAACACGGGCCGCCAGGAGAACGGTACTGTAAAGTACAATCTTGCGATTCCCACTTGGTAGGCTGAACACCTTAATGGACAGCCAAGCAACACCAAACCTCAAAAGAATAAAACAACTGGAAACAATAATAAAAAAAAACTCTCTCTGCTATTGTAGCTGCCTCTTCCGTAAAAGGGAATCCAAGGCTTGTGGTAACCACAACAGAGTGAAAAGTAGAGCAGTTAAATCGTGCCACATGCAACAAAAAGAGCGACATAGGAATGTACAACCACTTGACTCCTCCTCGGCAGGCTAACACCATTACCAAGAACCAGTCAACACAGAAGAGGTCAAGGCTCAGAAATTAAAGTAACACAAAAAAATAAAAACGTCTCTTCACTTCCCATGTCCCTCCTGCCGAAGTGGGGAGCCAAGGTGCACGGCAATAACAACAATATGAAAAGCAATGTCTTTAAGGCATTCCAAAGAATGTAGTGAAAGTGTCATAGTATTGTACATTCGAGTGACTCCCTCGCGGCAGACTAAACATCCTAACCGAGAGCCAGTTAACACAAAGGGGAGCATACACTGCTAAATGAAGACTCAAAAGAAAAACAAAAATAAACATGTCTATCCATGTCTGTGGCCCTGGCTGCCCTGGAGAGAAGAGCCAAGGCTGAACCGGCAGACTGGAAACCAGGTACTCACGTTAACTCAGGAAACTCAATCGAAGATGGCCGAATGAAGAAACACGAGAAAAAGGCCCTAGGTAGACAGGCTAGGTCTCCATGGATGATCGGGGATCTTCGTGTTCCCAGGCTCGGCTCGGGACAGTGCGGGAAGATCGGGATCTAGAGCAAGGGGGGCGACGACGAGGCTCCGGCATTGGGCGAGCCCCATCCGAGATATATTCCAGCCAGAGATCTCCACTTTCAAGAATCCACTCAAGCCCGGGACATCCTTTGGTGAGTAAAGCGCGGAGGAGGCCTCTCCCTTTCAAACGATCAGGTGGAAAGGGTATCCCCATCATTATGTCGCCCCTGCGCTACGGCTCCAGTCCAGAAGTGGACGAAGGAGCGCCTTGCGTCTGAGGGTGTTATGGGAATGATCCAGAAGGATCTGAATCTTCACGCCATCAAACTCAACGTGTCTGCGCAGCCAGGCAGCCCGGGGGAATGTCCTCTTTCATGGTAAAGTAATGCACCCAGCAGACCACGTCACGTGGGCGAGGTAATTTCGGGATACGGGGGCCGGCGGCTCGATGAACCCGGTCAAGGATGATATCGGCCGGGGCAGTGCCCTCGAGTAGAGAGGCAAAGACATCCTGTACCATAATCTCGATGAGATTAGGAGCCTCGATGGCCTCCGGGATGCCACGGAGGCTCAGGTTGTTCCGCTGTCCCCTATCCTCCATGTGTAGTTGAAGTGCTGAGAACCGGAGATCAGGCTGCGAAGCCATGGACCGTCAAGACAAGCGTGTAGCATGAAGCTGAGACATCCGCCACAGTGGAAGCTAAGTCCCGAACCTCCTGCTTCACACCCCGGAGGTCTTTACGAATCGCAGCTTTGACCAGAGTAACAGTGGCCTCAAAGTCTCTCTTGGTGGGAAGGTACTTCAGTGGAGCTCGCAAACTCTCAGGGATATCCAGAGGTAAGTCACACCCCGACTCTCGGTCCATATCACGAGGATCTGATTAAAAAAGCCCCGGAGAGCACGATCCAGCTGGGGAGGCATTAGAAGAATGGAAGCCCCGTCTGCGTGCTCCACGAGGAGAGGCACGTGCGGTGGAGGAGGCCGCCATCTTTGACCTGCCGCGCTCCAGGGATGCCGAGGTATGGGGTGTAAAGAAGTGCTGCAGTGAGGCGTCAGAAGTCGATCTTTTAGTTCCGGTGTCCTTCCGTATTCTGTAATACGAAATCACCTGCACTCCATACAGCGTACAGACCTTGAGTAAGAGGTTGGTGCTTGAAGTGACAACACGGATGGCACCGTGTCAGATACAGTCCATAATAGAAGTCACCAGCACTCGATGATATGTGCAAGAAGTAAAGCACTTTTTATTCAATCGTCACATGCGTCAAAAAGCCAACGTTTCGTGGCAACGCAGGGTCCTTTCTTCTGGGCGACATAGTGACACTATACCGGAATCTGGGGTAAAAGCGTGCAAAAGTATTTGAAAAAAGTTCAAGAGCTACGCTGAAGCTGTGAAGCTCTATGGCCGAGCACCTCGTGCTGCCATGTCCAAGACATGCTCCCCTCATCTTTTAAAATTTGGGGAAAATGCGAATTATATTTTGTGCATAATTAATTTTAGCACTAAATCAATTTTAGTGTATTTCTTACTGAAAAACAGTTTTGCAAATACTGCAAAGCATAAAAGTTTGAAAACTAGCATTTTATTATTCCATAGGTTCTCTGCTTTTAGAAAAAATAGAATGTTTGGGTATTTTAAGTAATTTTTTAGGCCTAAAATTTACATTTTTACATTAGTATTAAAAAATCACTAGTGATGGGTCGAACACCCCCCTGTTCGGTTCGAATTCGAACTTTAGAACATGTGAAAAGTAAAAAAAAAAGTCTATGTGGGTAGAACATTGAAAAATCAATTGTCCCCATTTTGAAGCCTTAAATGCAATTTATTGGCAATAAAAAGTGTATGGGGATCTGGGTACTGCCCTGGGGGACAGGAATCAATGAATTTTTTATTTTTTTCTAAAATACCGTTTTTAAGGGAGCAATGGTTTTAATATCACTTAAAGGGTAATTTAGACATGTGCACATTGCAAAATTGAATGGATTCCTAAAACTACATTTATTTAGTTACTGACGAAATTCGTTTCTATTTCTTTTGTATTAAACGAAATCCATTCATCCGAAATCTGAATGCACTAAAGGTTGATCACAGAGCTCAGACCCACAGTAATAAGGATTACTTGCCATAAATTACAGCTATATATCGGCACACACATGTATATTATAAATGATCCCCCATCCTTTATTCTCTGTATTGATACATGTACAATGTCAGCACACACATGTATGTTCATAAATATCCCCGTCCTTTATTCTCTTTATATATAATGTCTGCACACACATGTATGTTTATAAATTATTCCTGTCCTGTATTGATACATGTACACATCTGTAATCACTGTGCGGGATTATTGATAACCCATTGCCCCGATATTGATGTCACCTACTACCCTAATGACCGCTCTTTTTGATTTATACACTGACCCTGTGGAATACCATAGTGCTAGTTTAAAAAGAAGGTCTTAGTCACATTAACCTTAATCAATGTTATATTATTTGTTTACTGTGGGTCTAAGCGCTGTAATAATCAGAGCAGTTAGTGTAACTCTCAGCAGGAGTGAAAGTGTAATAGCCTGAGAGTTACAATAACATCAGCAGCAGTGGGCGGGAGCAATAGCCAGCCTGCTATTGGCTTTTGCAAACTGAAATAGCCAATAGCACTCTAGCTATTCATTTTCATGCTGCTTTATTTTTTTTTTTACTCTGACGACAGGAGCTGTCAGAATACAAAAAAAAAGAAGATAGTAAGCAAAGCATTAGCTGCCCTGCCACCTGCCATCATTTCATGCTCGACTGTCCAATCCTTCCTGTGCGAATTGGAGACACTTTATCTTGTTAACTGCAGACAGCAAAGGTGTTCGAACAGGCCTTCGGCTTCCATATCCCATACAATGCAGTGTATGGCGAACAGTGCATTCAGAGATCATTTGAGAGGATCCCTGATTAAGATCTGCAGTAATTTCATGCACTGTTGTGTAGTGAAGTAAAAAATGTAGTGTTCAAATATATGGTGGGTAGTATAAATATATATTTATTTAGCCAAATATATGTTTATATGCGTTGTGAAAATCCAGGCAACCTCAGCTCTTTTCCAGAGAGTAGCGTTTAATTGGATCGAAGAAACCGAACAGTCCAACAGAGTAATACAGAGTAAAATATCTAGACCTCAGATGACAAAGGGTTCCATGATGACCCACTCTATCTACCCAGCATATAACTCCAATCTATATATGCCTCTCTGTGCCTCTCTTCATGACTGTGACCTCTCTCAGCCACCTTAGGCTCTCTATTCATATAAAGTTTAGTGCCATTCACTAACACTGAAAAGATTCTGATTGGGCGGTCTAATTACCTCTTTGATGTTTGTTAACTAAACAGGTTTTGACAAAATTCCCTACAGCTGTTCCATTGTGTACAATCAACAAAACAGGATGGCCAACTGGTCAATAAACTTACACTATTACCCAATGACTCCCCAATTACAATATCCTCGATTAACTCTGCATTATTAGTGACAATTAGATCTAAGATGGCATTTTTTCTGGTAGGAGTCTCCACCATCTGGTCCATGAAATTGTCGCGCAACATGTTTAGAAATCGCCCCGCCTTTGCCGAACCCGAAGTTCCATTGGCCCAATTGATGTCTGGGTAATTGAAGTCACCCATCACGACTACATTGCCCTCTCTCCAAGCTATTTCTATCTGTGAGTGAAGATTGACTTCTCCCTCTTCCCCTATATTTGGAGGTTTATAGCAAATACCCACAAGAAGTTTACGGCTAGAATAAAATCAAAAAACCTAGTTAGCATAGGTGTGTTAAATAACATCAGCTAAAAGAATGCAATACATGAGAATACACCCTAAATATACCCCTAATATAGCTACTTTAATAATAATTTACAACATGTTGCCCTTCTGTTGTCTTGTAACAGTCTTGCCACTCTCTGTTCTGCCCTAACATTGACTAGTCGCTGACGGCCACAATTCGCACGTTCTGACCCAGATTTTCGGCTGACAGTCCAGTCTTTAAACACTTTAACAACAGCTGCTCTTGAACATTTAACGAATTCTGCTGTTTTGCTGATACTCGCTCCATGGCTCCAAGCGCCAACAATCATCCCACGCTCAAAGGCTGTTAAATCGCGCTGTTTACCCATATCTTTAGAAAAAAATCACTTCTACTGTCGTGGTAAACAACCTGCTGTTTACCCATATCTTCAGAAAAAAATCACTTTTACTGTCGTGGTAAACAACCTGCTGTTTACCCATATCTTCAGAAAAAAATCACTTCTACTGTTGTGGTAAACAACCTGCTTCCCTATTTATACTGGTCTGGCCCTCTAGCAACTTCAGCGCAAAATTATAGCTAATTTGCTTACAAATGTCTGGTGGTCATAATAATCTGGCCACTCATTGTATACCGCTAATTGAAGTGTTTAATACAGCCTGGGCAGTGGGTGAGCAGATTGGCTGTATTTGGACCTCTCTGCACCTTTGAGACTTTAGGATATATTCAGAGGTACTGAACACTTTGTATTTGATTGCGCTGGATACTTTTGTTTTTAGTTGCCTGTCACTGGTCACTTTGTATCTATAGTTCCACACTAGTAATCTCAGCCTCTCAGGCATTTTATTAACTGAGGATTTATAAGCAGATGAACTTTGTGTAATATCCTGCAGTGTATAATATTGTATATTATATATTATATTATATATAATATAATTGAATTGTGATACAATAATTGAAGAAAAATCGTTGAGTGTTGGGGGCATAAATTATTGTTGCGTGTTATAGTGTTTACAGTGGATATTTGTACCGAGCTTTATATGAATTAAGAGGTGTTCCTTTTCATATTGTAATGTTTTTGCATGGCACATTGATTGCGATTGGGAATGGTGGTGGAAATCACCACATGAATTAGGTGGCAAATACGCTATGTTGATATTAGTTAGGGTGGCGCAATATTTAATAGTGATTTCGGGGATACAGGTTTCTGTTTATAGTGATTACAGCTGCTCTAGTACTGGCCGGTGTTAATTATACACATTTTACAACAAGCTGCAATAGCTGGCCTGCTATTAGCTATAGCAGGGTGGCTATTGCACCCCTCCACTGCCTGCTATCAATCAGCTGAGGCGACCTGAGAGGGAACTTTCTCCTTAAGGTCAGCTCCTCTGCTGATTGTCAAACTGAAACAAAAAGTTAAAGCATTTTCTTTTCGGTTCTTTTGTGTGGGGCATTTTGACAGATGCGGGGTGTGCGGCTGGCCAACAGCCAGCGAACACCCTTACAGTTTGTGTGTTCGCCGAACACACGAACAGCCGATGTTCGAGTCGAACTCACGTTCGGCTTGAACATCAAGCCCAACCCTATTAGGCATCTCCCAAGCCTGTCATGTAAAGGATTTGTGTTTTTTCCATGTTGCCCTTGAAGTGCATGAAAAGAATTATCTTCCTACTATAAGGGAATTCTTGAAACAAAAACAAAAATTGCCATTGGTACATGTCCCCAATAGCATTCACTGGCATCTTAAGCTTTTTTTTTTTTTTTTTTACAATAATATGCTTATTAGCCCTAAAAAGTCCAGAATTTATTAATAGGATTCTACCCCTATAGACTCCAGTGTAATTTGCCACTGCGTTTGGATTCGCCAAACTTCTAACATGATTCACTAAGCTCTCTGTAAATCAAACCCTGGCAGATTCACTCATCCCTAATTTATTTATTATCTGTATTTAATGGTGACAAGGTTTCTTCAAGGTTTCTTAAGGAGACATGAATGGTTTAAACATACCCCTGGTAGGACAATGGGGACACAGAGTCTTACCCACCATCTGGTGCTGAAAAAACATAGAACCCTGCTATGCACAAGACTCAAAGCTCTTTAGGACCCAGACCAGCAGGTACATATTAGACGTAATTTTGCTATGTGAACATTGTAGAAACAATTTCTTTTATGTGGACATTCCATAGTTATTAGTGGTCACAGAATGTGCATATAGACACAAAGGGCTACATTGTTTTTACAGTGGCATTAAGCAAGATTGGATGTTTACAATAGGACACAGTGAATGAATTAAAAAGTGCAGACTTACTTACAGATGTAAATGATTAATGAAAGATATATCTTTCTGAACATAAAACAATAAAAAGTACACTATTAGCTGTATAGCATTATGGGTTTGCATAGCCTAGACACCTCACCCCTAATTTTGTTATTAAAGGAGTAAGCTCTAAATGGGATTTTGTGCTGTTATGATTTTTGACAAGATTACACATCACGTATAGATATAAAAAAAAGCACACATGTATTTATAGTACATATATTCATAGATCAAATAAACTGTATATATATATATATATATATCTAGATCTAGATATATATTGTTTTCACACACATTGTATGTATATAATAAATATGTTAAAAATAAAATAGGGCCTCATATCCTCATATGTCTGAAGTTGTTTTACCCATTATCCTCAATATTACACAATAACCTTCTATGCACATTCTCCCCTATGATGGTACAATCGCAAGTTAAGTAAAGTTAAGGCACATTTAACTCGAAGATACGTACAACATTCTATTCTAAATTAATCCTGGGGACTGCACAAGGTAAGTTAAAATATAATTGTTTTATTCATAGAAATGTGCATAAAAGTTTTCTATGTGCATAGAAATGTGCATAAAATAAAGGACATAGAAAGGACACAAAAAGGGCATAAAAAGGACACCAAAAAATCCCATTTAGAGTGTTCTCATTTAATTATACTTTAAACAATAAAAGGTTAAAAAAAACATATTTGCTGTGTTTTTCATATATGGTACTTTACCTTTAATAGTCCCATGTCATTGAGATACAAATTCTGCAGTGACCGAGATAATGGCAAGAAGGCACCATTTCCAATATTTCTGATAGGATTCTTGGATAGTCCTAACTCTCTCAGCATTGGCAATCCTTTGAGTGCATGTGTTGGCACCTCTTTTATCTTATTATTATCTAGATAGAGTTTCTCTAGAAATTTCATATTTCTAAATGCTGTTGGTGCAATTGAACTTATGTTATTTCCTGTTAAATATAACCAGTGTAATTTTGCTGCACCAGCCATATCTGAAAGTGAAGTGATTGAATTATGCTGCATGTGAAGTGATAAAAGATTTGGAAGAAGTCCAAAAATTTCACTTGGAACGTTAATAAATCTGTTGTTGTCTAAGAAAAGATATCCAATATTTGGTGCTCCCTGGAAGACATCAGGATTTATAGCAAAAATCTGATTATTAGACAGGTAAAGGTATACCAAATTCCTCATTCCTAGAAATGCTCCTGGTTGAATGTCTTTAATATCACAATGCTGGAGATGAAGTGAAACTACATTTTTCAGATCCAAGAAAGCTCCTTTCGGAATAAAATTAAATTCATTTCTACGCAGATCAATTAAGATGGTGTCCTTAGGAAAACCTTGAGGTATCTGTCTTAAAAACGTATTTTCACAAATAGCATGTTTAGCATCGGATTTGCAATTGCAGCTCAATGGACATAGATTTTTTTCAAATGTTTTTTCTGTAGCTGGCAAAAAATTGTACACTTCTTCAAGAAATGTTCCACATTTCAGGTCTATTGCTCTGATAGAATCCAGGTGATCTCTGTGAAAATGACTGGGGCCAAAGCAAAGGAGATCAACTTTCAGTCTTTTTAGGTCTGCCCATTCTTTAAATGGCCGTAATTGACAATCACAAGGTACACTATTTCCCGTCAGGTTTAGATATTTTAGTTGTTCAACTCTAGCCAGTGGTTGTACTGCACATATCTGATTGTTACTGATATCAATAAAAGAAATCTGGTTGCTTTTTTCAAATGCTTTGAAAGATACTTCCTGTAATGCCATATTATTAATATATAACTGTTTGAGAGATGTCATTTGGAAAGCTTCTTCTGGAATAAAAGTAATTGGATTCCATCCCAGTTCTAACTTTATGAGACCAGACAGTCTAGAGAGAGCCTCTGTTGGCAGGTACTGAAGTTCATTGTGGTCAAGGCTTAGCCTTCTGAGGTTGGGTAGTCCTGCAAATGCCTCATATGATATAATGTTAATCATGTTGTTAGAAAGATACAACAATTTAAGCTGTATCAGTCCTTGAAACAACAAATCTGGTAAGTAGACCAAAAAATTATTTCCAATATTTAAAAAGTTCAAAAGACCTAATTGGCTAAATGCTCCTGGCTGTATCTCCTCAAGGCGGTTTTTCCCAAGGTTTAAATGTTGTAGAGATGAAAGTCCATCAAAAGATTCCTGGTATAGGAAACTTATATGGTTGGAGCCAAGGTTAAGATGCAACAAACGTCCAAGGCTTCTGAAAGCTCCTTCTTCTATTTTTTCAATGCTGCAGTTGTATAGACTAAGATGAGTTAGATAAGGAGTTGAAATAAATGCTCTTGATGGAATACATTTTAGATAATTTCCTTGTAGATTTAGTTTTTGTGTGTACTGTAAAGACAAACAGATCGTATTATGGGCTTTTAGTGATTCCGCACATTCACATAGAAATAAACATTTAAATTCGATGCATGCATGAATTTCGTACTGAATTAAACTATAGAAAAAGTAGAATTAAATTAGCCAATGCAATATTAGTCTAATTTCTTTAGAGAAAAATTTGAAAATGTGGATTTTCTTTGCAATAATATGATTTTACTTATGATTATATAATATTTATGGTACATATTAGGGATGCACCGACACTAGACATTTTTATGAGTACTTGTACCGGTAAAAATGCCCCAATACATAGCACCAATACCGGTGCTTTAAATTTGTAAATAGCTTCGTCTGTCGTGAGGTGGGCAGCCTGCCAGGGACCTCTGCCTGCCTGCGTGACACAGCCAAAATAACAAAGCCCTGCATGTGAGATGCAGCCCTGCATGTGAGACACAGTAAGTCTGACTACACGTTAAAGTATAGTACATGTCGCACAAATATATTTTGAGGCACTACATGGGTTCATTACAGTTTATTGCTGTGCACGGGCAGTAAAAAAAAAAAAAAACAGCTGGAAGTAGATGTTTTTTGTATTGTAACTCATGCAGTGGCTTGTAAAACTGCAATGTGAGGTCAAATATGCAATCATGCTGGATTCTGGTTACCTTGCTAAAACCCTTCTTGTGCCCCTGGTGCGATCTTTTATCTGCCCCCTGAGATTCTCCATCTGCCCTTCTGAGATTTTTCCATCTGCCCCCCTGAGATCCTCCATCTGTCTTGCTGCAATCTTCCACCTGCCCCTGCTGCAATCTTCCATCAGTCCTGCTGTGATCTAACATCTGCTCCCTTGAGAAGATCCTCCATGTGCCCTGCTGTATGCTTCCACCTGCCCTGCCGTGATCTTCCATCAGCTCTGCGGCGATCTTCCTTTTGAGTTACAGTTCTTCATAATTATAAAGAAACTGCCCTAAAATCATTAGTCTGTATTGTTTTAGAAAAAATGTCACATGTCCCTTTAAGAAAAAGTATTGGTAATTGGTATTGGCAAGTATCGGAGGGAAAGTATTTGTATTTGGTCTTGAAAAAATGGTATCGGTGCATCCCTAGTGATAACTGTGACATTGATGGGAAATATGATGCATTGCAGAATGGTGGTGATCTAATTGACATAGCTAGCAAAAAAAATGGTGTATTATGGGAAACAAATACAGATGCGACAGAAATGGAAAGACAAAAGGTTGGAATTTGCAACAGCAATGTTGGGATTAATGACATTCATGATGATAACTGTGATGTTATGACAGGTTGTGAGGGACTGTTTGCCAGGAGCAACGTCAGAAGAAGTGAGGTGGTCAGTAATGAAGGAAGGGGTTGATAGACCATTCTCTATTGGAAAAGACTTGGGTATTGAACAAAACGAGGTGACTGAATATGTCAGTAGGGCGACTGTAAGTCACCCCAAGGAGACTGAGGGCGTTTGCATAGAAATGGATTGTCAAGAAATTAGTGGTGTCATGGAAGAGCCAGCTTCAAGTAGTAAAATATATTGCCAGCACACTGTGGTCAAATTTTCACAAAGTGATAATTTTATTGATGCACACACATCTTGTCACATTGCAACGTTTCAGGTCCACTTGGCATGGCATGACCTGAGGAAAGGACCCCAAGTGGCACGAAACATTGCAACGTGACCAGATGTGTGTGCATCATTAAAATGATCACTATCTAATATTTGACCACGGTGTGCTAGTAATATATTTTAATACTTGAATCTGAAGCCGCGCCATACGCAGTCACTACAGCACCCACCGTAAGGGACATACCAGTAAGGAGTGCGGTAGGATCAGTGGTGGACTGACAATACATGGGGCCCCCAGGCAATATGAGATTATGGGGCCCCCTTGTGCCCTGCCCATGTACAAGCCCTGTCCACCGACAGGCCACAATCATCCACAAGCCCTGTGCGGCTTGTCACCAGGGCTGTGTGCAGTGTGCCACCAGGACTGTGTGGCTTGTCACCAGGTTTCTCTGCAGTGTGTCACCAGGGCTCTGTGCGGCATGCCACCAGGGCTGTGTGGCTTTTTACCAGGGCTGTGCGCAGCTTGTCACCAGAGCTGTGCAGCTTGATACCAGGGCTGTGTACGGCTTGTCTCCAGGGCTGTGTGTGGCGTGACACCAGGACTGTGTACAGCTTGTCACCAGGGTCGTGTGTGGCTTGTCAACAGAGCTCTGTGTGGTGTCTTGTGGGTGCGGGCAGGAGAAAGAGGAGATGTTTAGCCAGACCAGTGCTGTAAACAGGGCCGTCATCAGGGGGGTACGGCCAGTACCATTGTAAGGGGCCCCTTACTATCATTTTCTCTAGTAGAATTATACGGTCTCTCTTATGCTTCTCTCCCTCCTCTCGGCATGTTCGGTCTGTGTCTCATTCTTTCCCCCCTCCTCCTGTTCTCAGAGAAGGGGGGGGGGAAGAGTGAGAGAGACCGATGGACACTGAGGGGAGGAGGGGGGGGAGAGAGAGTGAGCGACGGACACTGAGGGGGGGTGGGAGTGAGAGTGAGCAACTGACAAACAGAAATTATTGAGCTAAGTGCATGCCTACCTGACAGACCATTCCTCCCCTTCATGAATCACATGTTTTATTCATGACCTAAACTTCAGAACAGCAGAAAACTGAATGTCAGGCGTACATTTAACCACTTGCTGTCCGGGGCATTTTCTTACTATTTGCGCACACATGATAAAATATACATTTTTGGTAGTCCTTGAGGACTACCCTGTTTGACTGCACCATTATAATATGAAAACTTGAGTTTGTAAACTTTATTTGATATTACATCGTATTTCACACTGAATGTGAAAGTGTGATCACTGTTATATGCATTTAAAATAAATAAAAACCTTTTTGAAAAAAAAATATATATAGATTTTTGGCTAGAAAACAGCTTCAAACCCCCAAACAATGATATATTTTCTGAAAGCAGAGGCCCTGTAGAATAAAAAAAATGCTAGTTGCAATTTTTGTATGTCGCACATTTTTTGCACAAATGTTTATCAAACTAGTATTTTTAGGAAAAAATAAACAAAATTAAAATTCAGTGAACAGAAACATAATATAATACTCAATTTTTGGGTAAAATATGAAAGACAGGGTCACGCCGGGTAAATAGATACCAAACATGCCAAGCCTAAAAATTGCGTGCGCCCGTGAAGCCGCAAAAAAGTAAATACCCCAAATTTCCCATAGGGAACATTTTAAACGCTTTAACCGCTCATAAGTTTAGTGTTATCAGTGATTGACAGGTCTAGAATTATTGCGCTCACTCTGACGTTTGCGGCAATATGTAACATGTGTAGAGCAATTGTCGTTTTTGCACGTAGGCGCACCGACGCGTTTGCGTGTGTATGTGCATGCACGTGGGGGCGGGGGACTTATAACAAAATGTTTAGCTTTCTTTATTTTTCTTATATGTTACTTTAATTTTTAAACACTTTTTTTATAATAACCCTATTGCTATCATTTAGCGGGATAACAAGCACCCTATGTAATACCAGATAGGGTGTGACAGGTCCTCTTTATGGAGACCCCTCTTTCAGACCCCTAATGTCACCTAGGGAACCCAAAGAAGCTGAGGAAGCAGAGATCTGCTTCCCCAGCTTCATCTCCTGGCTCTTAGAGCCGGAGACTGTAAGAGTGACACCGGAAGAGTGACACCGGAAGTGAGTGACGCTGGATCTCTCTCCGATCATTGCGGGGAGACCCAACGAGCCACTCCCGGGCGCCGCGCAGGGACAGCGGTGCCTGGGGAAGCCAACGGCGGCCGTGGCCCAGGGGCGGAGGGGGGGCGCTGCATGTTATAAACGATTCGGCTGTACAGACCCTGGATCGTTTGTACATTGCCTGCTGTTAAAAGCGGTACCAACAACATGGCTGCTGCAGCAGCCGTGTTCTTGTTTTAACCACTTCTGTGGGCCACCGTCTATAGACGTATTGCGGCCCGGAAGTGGTTAATACAGAATGCACATTGAGGACATTGGAGTATGAGAAGAACCTGAATACAAAGTGACCCCAGTACCACATTAGAGAGGACACAACCTTTTATAGTGATAATAATCAGGGCCACCATCACCATCAGGGCCACCATCAGGGGGGAGCCCGCCGGGGACCCTTACATAAGTATCGGCTGATGATGAAAGGCGAGGAGGCGCCTGGGCCCCCCATGCCGGAAGCCTGGCCCCATCAGCGCCGCTGCTTGTCTAATGTCGGACTGGCCAGAAGTGATGTGACGTCACTTCCGGCCAGTCCGGCGGCAGAGAAGGCCAGGTATACAGGCACCAGGAGCAGGTAAGAGGAGCTGGAAGGGAGGGAGAGAGGGGGATACAGGCCAGATCAGCCCACCTGAGACCCCTGCAGAGCCCACCATAGAGTCTCAGATGGACTGTACAGCATCTATGGTGGGCTATGCAGGGTCATTCTCAGTTAGGTCCTGTGTCCAGCGCGTCACTAAGCCCAGCGTCCAGCGGGTCACTAATCCCTGCGTCCAGCGGGTCACTAATTCCTGCGTCCATCGGGTCACTAAGCCCTGCGTCCAGTGGGTCCCTAATCCCTGAGTCCAGTGGGTCCCTAATCCCTGAGTCCAGCAGGTCACTAAGCCCTGCGTCCAGCGGGTCACTAAGCCCTGTGTCCAGCGTGTCACTAAGCCCTGCGTCCAGCGTGTCACTAAGCCCTGCGTCCAGCGTGTCACTAAGCCCTGCGTCCAGCGTGTCACTAAGCCCTGCGTCCAGCGTGTCACTAAGCCCTGCATCTTGCGGGTCACTAAGCCCTGGGTCCAGCGGGTCACTAAGCCCTGCGTCCAGCAGGGCTGTGCAGCATCTATGGTGGGCTATGCAGGGTCATTCTCAGGTAGGCCCTGTGTCCAGCGTGTCACTAAGCCCTGCGTCCAGTGCGTCACTAAGCCCTGCGTCCAATGCGTCACTAAGGCCTGCGTCTTGCGGGTCACTAATCCCTGCGT